GCTCGAACTGCCGTGGAATTATCGAGGAGAAGGTGTATGGTGCTTGCCCAATGCGACCACCTCGAGAGTAGCCATAGCACTATGGATCTCTGCGTCGTAAACGTCAGCACTCGTAATTATGCCAGAGCCACTCCGGCTAGTGACGCTTTTTGTGCCCTCAGCCATGGTCACGAATAGCATGAAACACTGTGGGCAGATAAACTAGACACGTCGTTGGAGACGCAAAGACGGTCGAAGGGTAGTGGACTTGGCCATTTTGCCGCTTCTTCTTAGCTTTTCCAGCGCGATCTTCGATGTCCAGGCGCAGACGGTTACAGTGGCGGTGGAGGTTCCAATTTTGGCAGGAGTCGAACCGTTCTTTGCGCCCTAGAGTCGCGGATTCGCTCTGTCCTGAGCCTGTTTCCATCACACTTCCGAAGTCCAAGGCAGTGACGGGTGCTACCGATCGATTCTGATGTGCGATTGCGCAACGGTTGGTTATCGCCTAGTCTCCGTATGCGGGCCGTAGATTTAAGTCGACATACTTCACGGAGAATTTGCGCTGGCAGGATGCCAGTTTCTCGCCCTAGGGCTATAGTTGGTGCGGTATACCAACTCGGTAGAGCTGCGCGGATCCTAGCCGTGGAGGCTTGGTCAATAGCTCTGCACCGCTTTCCCCTGAACTTTCGGACAACATCTTTGCATGCTTCTCAAGTAAGTCCTAGATGCCTAACCTTAGCCGCATGCATATGCTTGGGAGAACTACATCGGGTATCACACTTGTTCGTAAGTGCAGCTTTGGGCCTTTAATACACCTAGCTATGCTTCGATATCGCTGTGCCAGTCGCATAGCTTTGTTAGCGAGCTTGGTAACATAGCCTTCAATAGTCAGGCCACAGTCCAGGTAAGCTCTGAGCCACGGAACGTTGTCCGATGTATAGATCTCTAGTTCACATCTTCTGATCCTTAGACTGAGGAAGTGGAACACTTAGGGCTTATAAAGGTCTAAAGATACAACATTTTCAGTTGCCTATGCTAGAACCGCATCGATCTCTCGCTGGACGGCTATTGCAGTTTCGTACTGAGTCGAGCCAATTTTATTATTGCGACGTCATTCGCATATCTAGAATCTATCAGGTTCCACCCACAACTTCACTTATGTGGAGGAAGAGGATTGAGGATAGCAGCGAACCTTGTGTAAGCCCTAATTGCAGGAATACCGGCTCTATGATTCCACATTTATGACAGATATGGGCTGATCGCCCGTGGAGGAGGGAGTTAATCCAGTCGACAGGTTGCTTCCTACCACTCTATCTTCCTCATTCTTAGCATTAGCCTTCCGTGCATGACGGCTAAAAGGGCCCCTAGAACTTTCAGATTAACCAGGACAGCTTTTTATTCCTTGTATGGTATTTTTCACGTCGTGGATGATATATGCGATTAGATCGTTGGTAGATCTACTAGAAAGTGCCCCAAAACGTTGTAGAGTCAATGTCACAGTTTGAATATAGAAAGCGAATGGGCATTTGTATGATTGAAAGGTAAAGCTATAATTCATCTATGTAGAAGCAAACTACCTACAAGTCTCCTCTACTACTTATACACATCCAGAGGTATCTAAATCTAGCCTACGTTTACAGTGGCAATGAAACTGACTTAAGCTTTGTTCTGCCACACGGGTAACGCTTCCGATACTCTTGGCACTATCCTTTACGTAGCCTCAGTGGCGATCTCATATCAGTTTTCGCCTGCTGATAATCCTCGGAGTGATAGATAATATAGGTTGCCTTCGATAGCCATCGAAGGCTACAGGGCTTATCGGCTCACAAGCCGTCACAGTCAACACCTTGTGTGATGGAGTAGGTGTTGTGAATATCGTAAGCATGACTTATAAATGTCTATATACGACAGATACAAGGTCTTTGATAGATATCTTGGCAGGGGCGCCAAACCACCACGCATGACGAATCTGAGGCAGAGTCATATATGCTTGGGTGAAGCATCCGGGTCAGGAAGTCGCAGCCAAGGAGTATCATATATACTTAGCATTGTATCATAGTTGTGAACCTAGGGTCTAGTGATACGTAGGCAACGGGAGATGTAACTGAGTCAATGAGTCTCAGTTTACGATTAAGTAGTACTGGCGTAGTCATGTGGAATAATGGCTAGCACAAGAGACTCGAATATGATATAGCGATATCTTTATGTTCAAATAGATGTAACCATAAGCAAGCAATCAATCAATCGAATATTATCGGGATCATTATTCATATCATTCTAGTATCATCAATTACACGATAATATTCCAATAGTATGGTATACTATCCATTTCGCCATTAACTTCTCGAGATCTCTGGCGAGGGAGTAAATTAGTATGATGGGTCCCCAGCTTTTGGCTGAGCTAAGAACTGAGCCGGGTTTTGGGAGGCAGATAACTTGTTGGAAACTCTGACCCTCGAATTTAGACCTCACTCATAATCTATTTCGTCCGAGGTTCCCGACCAGATTGAGTCTCTCTTCAAACGTTTCGGATGCGCTAATCACACCTGCTGTTGTATACACATTCGGGTATTTAGGTACTGCAGCGTACATTCTCTCATCATGGTAGATAAGTGATGGTTGATTAATGCCAAGTACGATAGGCACGCGAGACTATTTGGGATCTATCTCATAGATGTATATATCAATGCATTGTTTGCGTAGTCGTCAAATGTGAAGTCTTTTTTCATCATTCTATGGACATGTAATGTCGTACAGAGTATATTTTCAGACAAAAATTCCACCAGCTTGAACGCTTTTGGGAAGTAGTTCATTCGCAGTGAGCCCTCATGTAACTCCCTCACTACGTAACTGATTGACAGCTATGCTACCATTAGTAGCCGCACAGTAATTGCATCCGGCCTGGGAGGTTTATTCCGTCATTCCGCTGTAAGTCACTCAGATTCTTCATTCGAGATGCCGGGAGCCCATGGTAGGTTGCCCTCTACTGACTCGATTCGATGGGTGTGGGCGTCATTTTTTATCGGTTTATTACTAGATGACTTTCTTAAGTACCGCTTTTTTTATTTAGTAACCGTAAGTCTATGCTAGTTCATAGGTGCCTAGTTGATTGTATGGGACCAGATAACGTCACATTGGCTTCGCCCTTGGATTTAACTATGCTGTTTACAACCTATAAGTTTATCCCTTTGGAAAACCTTTGAAATAGGAGAGCCATTGAACCACAGTAGATCCTACTGAATTAAATTTCCCGGGACTAACGAAATTTTCGCTGTTAAACCGGCTGAGAAGCAGGTCTCGCAATAGGCACGCTCGTCTCCTGAGATGCGAGACAAAATTATCGGGTGTTTCGAGAAGTGGTACCGCGTTTTGAGGTCGATACTTTGCTCAGCATACTATTCGATACACCTCGATATCCGCTACTGCCTCGGGGAGCTTGCAGCCTCAACAATGGCACTTGGCATTTTTTACCGTCTGGCGTTTTACTTCGCGGCACTCATCCGTCTACCGGAGCGCTGACCTGACCTTCTTCGCACTCCCACATCTTCCGGCGGCCCCGATTGCGTTGCCTACTGTCTGGACGAAGGCATCAGCAATGTCATCAATTTCAGATGTAGATTTCATGGGCCATCTCCCGAATCCGTTGCCCTACCTTTTCAAAGCCTAGTAAAATCTTCAGGGACACTGTCATTGACCCGAAATGGCTACTTAACATTAAGGATGGCTCTGAATTTGGAGTTTTGGCGAGGGATGTCGCCAGCAAGAGTTCGGCCATCTAAATTTGACCCGAGGTCTATCAATATATCGGCTTGAGCTCCGACGTTGGACCAAACTAGGTCGAGTGTGTTTTTCACGGAATGATAAGAGCGGTTGGAATGATGCTTTACTGATAGCATACAAATCTTGCAAGCCTGAGTAGGGAAAGGTAGCGTGACAGTGAACCATGAGCATGTACACAATAAAGCGTAGTCTACAGTTGAGATGCCTTCTTCACGCAACGTCTTTTCAATATTATTCTCATCCTAGATATTCCATCACTTCTTGTGGAAGACCTTGACCCCCCATTTCCTCACACTTGTACCCTGTGGATAAATAGCATATACACTCCCCGAGAGTGTTCCGTCGGTCGTGGGTTGGTGCACCTGGTCGTGAAGAAAGATACATGGCGTGTTCAAGCATCCAATCTACACGGAGCTGGCCATAAGTTACCAGTCGAGATTCATCACTATGGGTATGACTGCAATGGGGCAGGACAGCCTGCGAGTTTCTAACATGAAGAGAAGGATAGATGGGGAAACAAAGTGCTACACTGGAAGCTCAAAAAAGAATCAAATCAGCGGGGCCTCCCGTCGAAGAAAACGACCCTGGAAAAGATGGGATGCTGGATCAAGGTAGAGCTGAGAGCGCGAGGTAAAGAAAATGTCTGGATGATATCAAGGGCTCAAATACGAGGCGGCCAAGGCTGAAGAGGAACCTACACTTCGGCGTAAAAAACCGGCTTCTATTGACGCTAAGACTTGACATGACTACTTTTACCGTACTGTACATAATATTTAGCCTAGTCTAGCACGATCCCGCTTGTGTCAAGCTCGTGAGGACCTCAATATATCTAAGTCATCTAGTTCATTATTACACAAAAACAAATAATGTGTAGTTTGACACGTCCCAAGCGCGTGGCTGATTGGTACTACCAGACCAATTAATCTCTCTCAGAAAGGGCCGAATAAATTCCGGATCTACTCGAATGGGCAGCAATATAGTCCCGACCTAATCTCATAAAACCGTTGAAAATAATACATTGAGACCAGATAAAAGCTTCATCTGGCGCTTATCATATTGGACCTCGACCATGATTTTCCAATACACATATTACTTAAACATTTAGTTTTTTAAACTGTGAAAAGCTTCAAATATTCTTGGCCTGTCCCTATCATTACGACAGCTCAGAAGTTAGCGTATAACTTAAAAGAAGTTTTAGATGCGGCTAAAAGTGAATTAGAATCTGCGATAAATTTAGTTCATTACACGGTCAGTCCGTTTGATAACGATGGGTTCTCTTCATTAGGATCTGGTGCGCCATAAACTTTAAGTGGGATAGTGACTTCGAAGCTCTCGCAATCCATAAATTCTACTGGTGCTAGAACTATTCCACGTTCATCTTTGGAGAGAACTTCCAACAACTCAGATTGCACTTGGGCAGACCTATTATCATACCCTAGCCGTGCAGTGACAAATTCAATACGAATGCGCCATTCGAGGCTAACACCGCTAGTTATGAATTCTGGTGTTGCTGTGATGGGTATTGTGGATGTAAAGACAGTTCTTCTGGAAAAAAAGGTGGATTCAGAGTGTGAGCTATGGGTTTTCCGAGTAACTCGGAGAATACTAGATTCTGATCGAAGGGCGATTGACATGTCAACTCTTTCCGACGACTCTAAAGTTGCATGTATAGCGTAGCATGGAATTCTGGCATCAGTGAAATCAATTGCAGCTATGATAGATTCTCCTAGCCTGTATGCTGGTCTGGCGAGCATCAGAATAGCAACCTTCTTACCACTGCGGGAAATTTCGAACTTATTTGCGCTCTGTTGAGCTCCAGTGATAGTATTACTCTTAAATATTGCCATCTCGATAGCCTCTCTAGCATTGGTAGGTTCTTCATTGCATGATGAGTCTTGATTCTCTAAATCCTCTGTGGGTGAAAGCAGTCCTGAGCCAGAGTCCCCATGTGGTTTTGCGAGAAGAAGATTTACGTATGATAGAAAGTCACTCAATGAAGAATTGCTCAGATTTAACGTCTTATCTTCAGCCAAAGTCTCCTGATTTGTATCAGAAATCGCCTTGACAGAAGCCTGATCTCGAAGAATGATATACGGACTCATCAAGTCATGTTTGATAGGCTTTCCATTGCTATCAACACTCCCCAGGACTCGAAAAGGAATTTCGTTCATTTTGACCTGCTGTTCTTTCGCTCCACCAGGCCGCTGAGTTCCGATAACAAGTTTGTAAATTATTTTAATCGCTTTACCGCGATGTGACGGAGGTATTCCACGCGGTAGCTTGAATGAGTATTTGAACTTTTTACTCTCCCCTGGACCGAGTCGGAGGTCAACAAATAATATAGATTGAGGAGTAGAAAGAATTGGAATTGATCGAGAGCCTAAAGTTTCTCTTAGATCTTTAATGCTGCTAAGCTCACCAGAACCAAGAAATCCCCCAATTGAGTCACCGATATTACCCCATCCAAAACCACGCAACAGTCCGCTGTCACGTTTATTTGTCTCTAACCCAATAACCCCTCCACCCTGACTACCTATAACTCCTTTCCTCTTTACCTCTTCAAAAGGAGCTAGGTTTATCAGGGACGAATCTAGAGTAAATGAGCCATGAAGCTGGGCATAAGCCATCATTAGAACTTCTGGCGGTTTTTTTACGCCATCATTAGCTCTCGAGCCCCAAAGACGTTTACTTTCGGCAGTTTGTGATGTGGTACGGTTTTGTCGATGAGGTTGGTATTCAGATGCAAGGGTTTCAGAGGAATTACTACTCAGAGACCCACATTCTATGCTCGCTCTTGGTGTCTCTACGGCACCAGCTGAGGTATGGATCTTGGTCGGCACAATTGCTTTCTGATTGTGACTTTGGGAATCTTTCGGGTGCGAGGAAGGTGATAGAGCGTCTTGGGACTCTTTCTCAACAGATAAGCTCGAGGGAGATTTAGGACCTTTTTTACATTGAAAGTCCGGTGGAAACAAAGATGTTTCTGATGGAACCGGCAGTGGCTTTAGGCTATGAGTAGGTAAGGTTGCATCGAATGGTATTTGTTGGTATCTGCTCGCCATATCCAGAGTACTTGAAGAAGGTAAACAAAATGAGTGCATCTGCAATCGTTTGGAAACGGTTGCTAGTCGATCAGTTAATGCCTGTAGAAGGGATTTACTCCAAGGATATAGTCTTTGTTACCTTGTTTCTGTGAAAAGATTTGAAGACTGGCAGACCTTCCATGGCCTCTTAGAGCTCTGCGTGATCTTTCTAGTATATCGCCGTAAGATATTCCTTGCTCGGATGAATTTTCAGCAATCCCTACCGGTATAATTGATACTGAACGTCTATGGAGGTTTCCCTTTTGGAAGCTACTAGGTTTTCCTTGTGGTGTAGGATTCGCAGGTTTCACTGGGCCTGATTTATTCAAGATATTTAGTGATAGCGCGGTACGGTGTCCTCTGCTAGGCTGAGTTGATCTGTCATTCCTTGTATGAATATTCTTTTGGGGAACTGATAGTATCAATCTAGGATTTTCCGAAGAAACTGAGCCTCCAAATGGTGACGAATAATGGGACCCTTCTGATGGCGTAGGAATAGTCGCGATATTCTTGAAAGTTATGATGCACTCTATTGAATCACCTGCGAACACGGCTGATTCAACCCATTCTACATATACTCTGATGTCGCTCGAATGTAATGACATTTCGACTGATTGGGAGACATAGACCTGCCCTCATGAAAAAATTTTGACAAGATTTCGGAATAGATACCTCGGACGTTCAGCCACGGCTGATGTTGTAGTCCTCGTTAATCGGCATGGCTGTTGTGTCAACGAATGCTCTTCATAGCACCATGGTGTTGCAGGAAATTAATTTTTAGACGTGATGGCTCAGGGTCGATTGGTGCAGTGGTATAATTGCTGTGCCTGGTATTCTTCGAGTAACTCAAGCAGCTGTAATATCTCCTGCCAGACAGGAATGTACTTCTAGTCGGGTGGGATGGCGCAGTGGTACACCACTCGGGCCGTTCTCCAAAGTAGAATCTCGATAGCTTGAACTTCTACCCCAATTGAGACAGGAGAAAGCTGGTTCGAATCCAGTAAGACCCACACACCACACTCTCTCGCGATGATTTCGTACTTCTGGGATGATGGAAGCACACCTGGATAATTACAGAGTTTTCATGCTTTTCCCTGTGGTGGGTATGCACGGAAGAGATTATACGCCGTAAGGGTTAATCTCGAGTGGTATCTGCAAATGAAATCTGAGTGTGAGTGTTCTAAACGTCAAATTGAGTCATCCTACTTAAAGTACATGTCTTCCGATAAAAACCTGCATGGGCCTCGAGGCGCCAACTCAGGACTATTGAATAATTTATACAACATACTTCTAGTCATGGCATGACAAGCACTAGGGTAATATCTTAATTCGTTACGGCAAGGCAAACGCTTAACATCTTTTTGTCGTGTCCTCAAAAGGGCTGGGAGCCAATTATTGTCCCAGGGCCGTACTGTCTCAAATTTCGCCAGACCAAACAAGTTGGCCTGCGAGACGATGGCTAGAAACTTACAATCATTTCAATCTTTCATTCACAGCAAGGCCAATTCCTATCAAAAGCTTGTCAAGTTTGTAATTATGAACTAACAAAAAATCATTGTCATAACCACAATTACCGTCTTTCTAGCCTCTGGTGTCATTTGGCCCCCCAAATAGAGGGCCATGACAATGTAAGTATCCGCAGGGAGAAACAAGCCCTGGATCACCAATCTGGGGAGACAGATATTTCAGGTAAATGAGAGAGACATTTTAATAGGGCTTTGAGATAATTCCAAGGTTTACACAGTCTGAAGAAATGGAGATAAAATTCTGGGCAAAGATTTTCAATATGGAAGGGTATTTGCGCCTTACGACTTTGTCAACCTAAAGCAGACGACACTTTAAACACCGCAATTTAATACTCAAAGACCTTATTTTTGCAACAAAAGAGAATAATGGCACTGTAAAAGGTATAGGCTGACTCAAGGAGGAGCCCAAAATGCTAGAAAGTCATAGACTCAAGTGGCAAAACGAACACTGAGCTGAAGGTAACTAGCCTTGGCTAGAAATCATGCCAGAGAAGCGTGACGGTTGGGTCAAGATCTTCCATACCTGTTTTATCTCAATTCTTTTACTTAAATTTTATAGTTTAGAGCCTTGGAATAAAGCCGCACCTAACATGTTGGCACATCTCTGGATATATTGTTCTCTCTAGTTTAAGTTTCTCTTTAGTACCCAGATATAGATATTTGGTGAATCACATGCCTTACAACCTTTAGAACTCCCAGGGATTAGGTTTTGACAGCGTTCTACAAGGTGCGTGATAAATTGTAGTTGATGATCTAGATGGTAAAGCTATATTATTTTATTTTGTTGTCCTGTCTGAGTCTATGACTATGTAGGACATACAGGTCCTCTCTACCTATAGGCCAAGGATACTTATACCAGTAGTATGTCCCCTCCTATGCCTCCCACACAGCTCCCCTCAAACAGTACCGCCCTTCACAAGTGCTCATTCTGTCGTACACTTAGAGGAGCCCTTCACTGTCTCCCCTCTCCAGCCAACGAAACGATGGCTATTTGCGGGTGTATGGCAGCCGGGAAAATCGCAAAAGCTACTGGGTGGCGAGTTCTTCTAATACCGACATCAGGACTAAGTCCGAAGAAATAGTGACCCCTCAGAAGCGTTTGAAGAGGCCGGCCAGCTGGGCGCTGTAGACTTGTGGGTACCTCTGAGAATTCACACTCTGCCTTTCTAGCCTCCTTCCAACTCCTTCCCAAAGGTCGAGGGGAAATGTCAGAAAGTCTTGACAGAGCGTGATTTCTGCATGGTAGATTAGTCCAACTTCTTTTTGTGCCGTCCAGGGCGCTGGGGAGTGCCGTTGACTCATTGACAATTGAAGCCCTCCTGGCTGATTAGCCGAAATTTCGGTCTTGACGTCCACAAACGTTCCAAAGTTGAAAACCCCTCGAAAATGTCTGTCCCAGAATGGTCTTCAGAGACGTGTTCCCACTCTCGCTCCACATCTCAGCCGCCTGTCCTTCCTCGAGATGTATTACCCCATTATAGCAGCAGTCCCTCATAAACCAAGACCTCAACTTTGTATTTTTCGACTTGATTTCCTCCTTGCGGCTATACATAGCGCCGTAAAATTGTAGTAAGTGATGGCAGGTAATCAATGAGGCGAGCTCCTGTTTGCAATTTGGTTGCCGCCTTTATCGGTCGTCGAGGCGAGATGATATGTGGTTAGATCGAGGTTGAGGGCTAAGAAGAATATGGTGAGTGCTGCATGATTGAGAAGTGGTCGAATGGAGATATGCAAGTGTAGCTTTCGACTTCGATTCGGACGCGATTCTTCTTGGCTATCCCAGATATGCAGAGCATACTGAGCCAATACACCGGCACCACTGGAAGGTGGAGAATTCGTCTTTGCCGGCTCCGCCACGTCGTATTTTCGCTCCCAACTAGTTTGACTCCTACCCAAGTCTCATCAAGCCTACAAGTACGACCAACTACATCCTCATCCCAATGACCACACCTCTCTTCGACCTTCTCTGGCCTCAATTGACCACCAAATACACGCCCACGCCGATATTTATATCCGCAGGAGGAAGCAAAGCGTGGCGCACAAATCTGGGAGACAGTTCTTTGGGATTGACGTGAGAGGGCTCAGGACAAATTCATGAGATCATGCGAAGGAAGGATACAACCTCGAAGGGCGTGAAATTCTGAATTTTGGCAAGGAGTTTTACGAATTGAGCTTTGTGCGCACCAAAACTTCGCTTGCGAGAGTGCAGCTTACACTATAAACACAATCCAACGATGGAAGGTGTTGTGGTCCGCCTCCTGGTGGTGTTCTCCGGTATAGTTTGAGTAGCCTGGGTACCTACTCCACTTGAGAAGGAGACATCTCAGATTAAAATTGGCGCGGAGAAAAGTTTATGGATGACAGAGGGATGTCTGGGTAATTCAGGGTTTTTGAGATGTTCCCCTGGGTGGGTATTCACGGATGGGGGTTGACTTGGGGTGAAGAAAAAGCCACCATAACTTCGCAGTGGTACTTGCAAATGAAATTCGAGGCATGAGTGCTCTTCTTGTAAATTGAGTCATCTATTTTACACTTCTCTGATATTGTGACATAGCTAGATAGCTGCATACGCAATTAAAATCTGATGCAAAAAGAAAGAAAAATCTAGCAAATTGGGCTCCTCTTTGACCCAGGCCACACCTTGGACAGTGTTCCTATCGTCTTATGCCCCGAAAAAAACTCTGATACAATATCTATGGTGGATCAGCATCCAGCTCTGTAATTAGCCGTGGAATTCGGCCTCATTGTGACGGAGCTTTCGGTCCCAAGAAAGTGTGTGGATGTCGGGAAGGGCTTGTTGAAGCTTTATCGTTTAGTGATAGAGATGAGGTTGAGGTTTTTTTTATTAAAGTCCTTATTAAGGAAATAATCACCCCTCAGTCATTGAGGTTGTAGAGCGCATTGATTAAAGTAACTACCGATGTGAAACTAAGTACAGGATTTGTATTCACGTGTGTACCAACAACGTGGCCTACTTGATAGCCCCAATTATTCTAGATTCTAACAGTCCTAAGCTAAAGCTCTAGGTCCACTATCGGAACAAGACTGGTGGATCCGGCGGGGATCACTGCTTACAGGCCCAACTCATTCCAACCGCGAAACCCGCTCCAGAAAAAGTAGAAGGTAAATTACAACTCAGAAGACACCACCTACTCCAACTCCTAGATCAAAAATCAATCCTTTTCCCTAAATCCAAATAGCTACAATCTTTCCTCAGAGAAACGACACTTCTCGCCTCGTTCCCTTTCTTGTCATGTGTTGTGGCAATGACTAGTTAATCTGATCCCCGCTGAGAGCAGTGGATGAGTGAGCAGGTCGTCTATCAAAACAGCCGGTTTCCTGCGCAAATATTTTGAAGCTTTCGTGGCACTTGGGCCCGAGAAGCTTTTTGATAAAGTCAACGTGGGACATTGACTTTCTGAGTCTACGCGTTTGTTGTGCGTGGTAACTACAGTGGATGAAGTGGGTTGGAGTAATTTCCTTCCTGTTGTGGTTATGAGCTATGCGGAAGTCACATTGCGGAGTGATGAGGAGTGGATGATGTTATAATTAGTTGTCGACAGTGAATAGACTCAAACAATATTATGCTGTAGGTGTATGGACAGAAAGTATAAGACTAAACCTGTGTCCATCTATTGCGGGGAGATCTATGAAACTATATACATGCTCGTCTAACCAGTACATTAGTGATGTATGCTGTTGCCTTAAGCCACATGCGATGCCCCAGCCTCGACTACCTCGTTGTCTCTTTTTTTTTTTCTTTTGCATCAGATTTTAATTGCGTATGCAGCTATCTAGCCATGACACAATATCAAAGAAAAGTACAGAATAGATGATTCAACGTAAGGGAAGAGCACTCATGCCGCAACTTCATTTGCAAGTACCACTGTAGGATTTGTACTAGATGGACGTAAATTAACAAACCAAACCTGTTAAACTAGCTAGGCTTGTTTTTACATGTGTACAGAAGGGATTCCTCCATCTACAACTGGGCCAGATCGCTTGGGTCTGTTTGTTTTCTATTTTTCGTCCGTCGGGGCGCCAAGTTTGACTTAGGACCCTACTACCCACTAAACTAC